ATCGTTGGTAATTCATCTGTATCCTTTTCAAGAACTGTTTATTATGATTACAATTAAATTATGATTATATAATAATAGTAATATCTTATTATCATTATTTAAAATTTACCGGAAATGTCCAAAAAAGGTTCAATATCTGCGTGTGATTGGTATGTTCTATTTTGAATAAAATATTATTATTATTAATGTATTATATTTGACTTTGTCCCCAATAATAATAATAATAATAATAATACTTTAATGCAGCAGCTACTTGATCATAATGCCTTGCTATGGAAACTAATGTCTCGGCCATGGAATGAGTTTCTCGTTCTTGAATATTACTTTTCTCGTATGAAAATTCCACACCAGATTCTTCAAGTGAAATTGTATTGCTTTCATACATTTCACGCAATCGTTCAAGTTGTGTACTTATTTCATCAAGTATTGACTTACTACTATTAAAGAATTGCTATTATAAAGAAAAATAGTGTATTATTACTACTATTATTATTATTAGATGTTATTATTATTAACTATTATTAATATTAACCTGGATGGTTGAAACTTCATCTTGTGTCTTCGTTTTTAGTTCATGCACACCATGCTCGTCTATATATTCATATAATGTCATTCTTTTTTTTTGATCTAAATTATTATTATCTTTTTCGCCTATTACATCAAGAACAATACTACCAATGCCACCACTGCTATTATTGTCACGTATAAATGCTTGATTTTCCATTAATATTGCATTCTCTCGGATTGCTGAATCAACCTGTTTACCACGAAGTTGTTCTAATGTGTGTTCCAACTCTTCGACAATCATATTAATACCTTGATATACGTATAGGCATTTATATATATGTATTAATAATATTTTTTCAATTTATTTAGGTTCGATTAGTTCAAAAAGCTGATACTGCTAAAATATATGCTATGAAAACATTAAGAAAAGCTGAGATGTTTAAAAAAGATCAAGTATAATCCTTTAAGAAATAAATTCACCCCTTTAATTAATTGATTGATCAATCAATCAATTCATTTATTTGTTTTTCTCTCAATCAATTCTGATCGAATTTCTTGTTTCATATATAGTTGGCACATGTGAGATCTGAACGTGATGTTTTAGCCGAATGCGATTCTCCTTGGGTAGTTCAATTATACTACTCATTCCAAGATCCTTCGTATCTCTATCTTATCATGGAATTCTTGCCTGGTGGAGATTTAATGACTATGCTTATACAACATGACACATTTCGCGAAGACATAACGCGTTTCTATATTGCTGAATGTGTATTGGCTATCGAGGCTATTCACAAATTAGATTTCATTCATAGGTATTTGTTGCAAAGAAACTCAAATTTATTTATTTGATAAATCATTTTTCTTAAAAATAATAATTTTCCTTCAAACACTAGAGATATTAAGCCAGATAATATATTAATTGATAAGAATGGTCATATAAAATTATCTGATTTCGGACTTTCCACCGGTTTTCATAGTGTAATCTGTCATTTTTTTAAAGAATTTTTTAATTTTGAAAATTTTGGAAATTTAAAAAAAAAAAAAATATAAATTTTTTTAAATAAAGAAATCAAGAATAATCAAGAAATATATAAATTAGGGAACTTTAATATATATTTTAAGAGACTTTTTGATTTTTTTGGAAGTGAAGTTATATTATTTGCATATTATATAATAAGAATTTAATTTCTCACGGATCTTTGTTTCACTACAGATAATAAATTTTGGAAGAGATGAAAAAATATACAAGAAAAAATAAAGAAATAAAGAATATTTAAATGTTTTTTTAAATGTGCTAATAGTTGCTAAAAGAATTTTTGAAACACAACAGGAAATTTTTTAATTAATTTTTAATTAATAAAAAAATTTTTTTTTGTTTTTGTAAGACATTTATAAACGTATGTAATATAAAAATATTATGTTAAATAAGTAAATATTTGTCAATGATTTGAATAATCTTGGATTCTTTTATTTATCATCTTGATCTTTTATTATCATTCAACAGATATTTTATCGGGATTGGTTGATTCAGATAATTACAAGTGCAATAATGGTGGTAAAATAATGGTAAATGATAACAGTGATGGTTAATGCCTTTCTTATACATGGGTTCTGCCGATTTTATATTCACTCAGAGCGAGTGAGAAGAATGGATCAATGAATGAATAAGGGATGTTTGATCAAAGAAAGAGAAATGTTTGATTGTGTAGTAAATCACCACCAATATAGTAAAAAGAAGAAACTTGCAAGTAATTCAGAAACAGAGCATGATCTTTACCAGTTTCAAAGTTTTGAAGCAGAATATTAAAAGATATTGCGATGAATATTATTTGTTGATTTGATATTGTTGTTGTTGACAATTCCTAATTTGTTTATCATTATTATACATTATGCATTCATTTAAGAATTGGCTGAATCTTCTAGAATAAAATGCAAATCGTTATTATTATATATATGTATTAATTTTAATTTCATTTGAAGAAATCTAATTATAATTCCCATGATTATTCAATGCATAATAATAATAATTTAAAATTTACGAATAGAAAATCGTTTTTCTTGAATAAATTAAATATGGTGAATAGGACTCGTTGTTTTGATGCTAATTTGCATTGATGTAAAAATAAATTTATCAAAAAACAAAGTATACCATTCATATTCCTTGTACTTTCAATGCTATTATTATATAAATAAACTCTAATTTATACTTTTTCTAAAAAAAAAATTTTATTTCTGTGAAATAAAAAAAAAAAATTTAAAAATGAGTGTTCCTAAAAGCCAACCTAGTAATCAATCTAACGATAATAAGAAGAAAAAATTGTGTGTTTATTTACTGTTGAACTCTAGCAAATCGAAAGTTTATGTCGGAACGACCAATAACCTAAAAGTAAAAAATATTATTATTGTTGTGTAAATTTTATCACTTTACGCGTAATTTCACTAACCAGCTAATTATTCATCCATTAGAATCGAATAAATAAGTTGAATAATTTATATTGTAATAACGGCGGTAGTAATGAACAAAACTGGATTCCGATATTGGTAATTACTGGATTTTTATCAATTCCGGAGGCAGTAAATTTCGAAATTACATTGAAATCAATCTCAAAGAAAAGAAGCAACGAATTTACCAGAATTTTTTTTCAAAAAAAATATTGTAAAGATGACGACGACAAAGTTAATTGTAACACTTTTCCTAAAATTATTTTACCAAAGATTTTTGCTTCAAGACATTTATTATATGAATATGATCTTTACTGGAAATCTAACCTTATGGTTAGTAATGGTGGCGATAGTAATAATAAAAGCAATAGCGGAAGAGAATATGGTTTATATTGGGGTAGTTTCATCAGCGAACAACAGCAATATAGAAAACAATTTGAAATTGTCAAAGATTTTTCATGGTGCAAACAAAATCAAAATAGAATTGTTAGACATTGTAAATTGGATTTAAATGATTTTGATGGGGATATGGGAGATAGAAGTAGAGATTATGCAAGCAGAAAAAATATAGGTATAGATATAGTTAGAGATATAAAGCATTTAAATAACGGAGAGGACTTAGATAGAAATATGGATAGAGATAGAGACGAAAAGATTATTAAATCCAAAATCACAATTAATAATAAATCCAAACTGAAATTTGTTTCTTGTCATTTACAAGATTCTCCGTTATATTAAAGATAGTACCATGCGGAAATATATCAATTAATTAATTAATTGATATATTATGCAAAAAAATAAATCATAATCAATAAATTAGAAAAAGAAAAGAATGATGCATTTCCACTTTATTAATTTATTCTTAATGCATCAAAAGATTTCGATGATTTTAACAAAAAAAGGTTTTTTGAAAAAATGGAGGGAGAGAAAATCTGTATATAATTCTCTTATTTTTTTTCTCAAGAAAATTCAAACAACAATTAATTAATAATAATGAAAAGAAAAATAATATTTATGATAATTTCAACAATGATTATTGCATTTTTCACAAATTTAAATATTGCCGAACCATTGTCGGGAGATGAGTGTGCAACGGAAAATCATGATAATTACAAGTTCATAAAACGTGATCCTGAAGAAATAGCAACCGCTTGTGGTGGTCCAACTCTTCACGCAAGACAGGGTTTCGATGGTTTCGATGACTACGATGACTATGACGACTATGACGACTATTTAGACGAACCCGAATATGGAGAAGAATGGGAGTGGAACACTGACTATGATTATGAATATAATTACTATGATGATTGGCTCCGTAGACATCCTCATAGACCTTATAACCATAGAAGACGAAGACATTATTAATAATTATTATTTTTTTTTATTGATCTCTTTAGTTATAAAATAATTGATCAATAAATCAATTAATTGGTTTATATCCATGTTTTAGTAATAAATTATCTAATATCTTGTATTCTAAATTTCTCATCAAATTATTTAAATTGTCATCTTTTTGCTCGTCGATAACTTTTCTGGTTAATATTGTAAACATTCCATTCAAATTACCAAACAAAACATCGGTTAATAATCTATCTCCAATTACTGCCACATTTTTATTTGAATAATGATTATTATTATTATTATTAAATGATGATGACGATGATTTAAAATATGGTGAAAGTTCAGATCCTGTATCTGGTTTCTATTATAATTATCAATTAATTGATTGATTTATTTATTGGTTAATAATTGACGAATTTATTTGATAAATAGTTTATAATATTATACCTTTAATCTATGTTTTAAAACTTTCACTCCTAGCATGCTCAATCAATAATTGATTGATTTGATTAATTTTATAATTAGCGAAAATCAAAATTCATTTCAACATTTTCTTAATTTAACTAACCAAAATTTGTTTCAACTTCTTTTGCCTAATTAATTCGCCAAATTTGTTAATATGATAATTCACCTTTTCCCACATCCATCCCTCTCTCTTGATAATATATTATAATTACCTGATCAAAATTGGGATCTTTACTTAATGTTCCAGCAGAATTTGAAATAATCAGAATATTTTCTACACCAAAAGTATTTTTACATTCATCCCAAGATTTCTGATTTATAAATCAAAACAAAACTATTAATGATATAAATAATAATAATAATATAATAATAATAACATTTTTCCGCTCTCTCTATCTCTGAATTTCATTCACCTTAAATGGTGGATATAATAAATTTTCATGTGGAATAGTTAATGTGTTATCTTTATCAAATATTAATTTATTTATACCTGATTTCTTTAATTTTTCATAGTTTAATTCTCTTATATCTATATATTATTAGTGTTAACATTACGATTATTTATTATTATTGTTATCAATATTAATGTTATTGAATATATATTATTTTACCTTTTACTATTAAATGAGGGACAATTAATCTTGGATTTTTTATTATTGATAAAACGTGAGATATTGCATTAAAGTTTATGTTTTTAATCATTATTTTAGAGTTCAAGATGATAAAATAATTTACATAATAATTTAATTGAGCGCCACCCTATAATTACGTCATGCAAAAAATTTTTTTTAAAAATATAAACAATATGCACGAGAAAAATAATAATAATGTGAGGATGTAAATGAACAAAAACAAATAAACATAATTAATAATCAAAAATCTAACAAACAAACCCGCTAATTAGCTAGCTTATATAACCATTGATCACGCTACTTTTTGATATTAATTTCCATTGCAACAAACAATCAATGTTTCTTAAACCAATCAACAAAACTATTATTATAGCCACTATTATTACCATGCGGCACTGTTAGAATGAGGATCGGCATTATTGTTTATTAGCTGATATATCAAATGTTACATTTCGTAACGTATACCAAACTAGTTTCTTTTCCGCCACTACCACTAAATTTCCAACAATAACTTTACCACCATTTAAATCCGATAAAATCTTAATAATGTATTTTTAATTACCTTATTCATATTAATATGTGTCAATGCGCCAGCATCATCAAAATTCCTAGTGCTTTCATTACTTTTTGAATTTCAATGTATAAATCAATAATAGGCCTTCTAATGAATCCTTTGGTCCATTAATTGATGTTTCGTAGTTATTTTTATTACTATTATTCCTTCTTACTGCTGCCGCAGCATTTACCTTTATTGTGTATTCTCATTTACCTGCAATCTCTTGATTTACCGGTCTCATGCTCTCCATTTCTTCTACATTGCAGGTGCCAACTCCAGTCGAGAATGATGTGACTATATATTGAAATATCGTGTTGAACAATTAATAATAATAATATCATTATTACTGTTATTATTGAAGACATTAATGGTGATGACAGCGATAACAGTGATTATGTATATGTGTGCAGTAAGTGCAACTGTGATTAATTTGCATTTTGAATTGTGAAAGACTAGATAATAATATATTGATGATAATGGTAATTTTGAAAATTAACGGTTCATAAAGTAATATTTTTCGAATTTATTTACTATTTGTTGTCTTGTTTATTTTATGTTTTGTTTAATTTTTAATTTTCATAAAGTGATAAACTTATTATTTCATATCAATCATCAAAACTCGCTCAATTAAAATGATCACAATACAATAATATGGTGCCATTTTAAAGTTTTTTGTTAAATTTTCAGTGGGAGCGTGTTTTTCCGTGAATGAATGAATGTCTTCGATCCTTCGATTTATACCTTTGTATTGTCACCAAATCTTACATAGTGGTTTTTCTTTATATTTTTTACGTTGTGGGGAAATTTCAAATAAAGTTAACATAATGAAAGAGAAGTAAATCTTAAAGCCAAGTGAATTTTCCGAAAGTTTATACTGTTTATTAGTATATACTTAACTCAAAAACCCAAAATCACAATTTTTATTTGAAGTTTGGAGATATAGCTTTAATTTCATTAAAAATAAATATTATATTTGATTTGGCGTTTGAATTTCCTTTTTGAGACTTTTTTCGATTAATTATACATATTAATATCCTTGGTATTGGTGCGTTAGTGTGTGAATCCAAGTTTAAATACGAATACGAATACGAATTCAAATCAAATTCAAATTAAAGTTGGTATCTGCAACTGATTCGATATCCAAAGTTTCAACTAGTCGCAGACTCTTCTATTGCAGCTTTTATGTTCTAAATTTTCTTAACCAGTTGTATTTCTTAATTGCAAACACCAACTTTAATTCCAAATACATAGTTTTTTATATAATCTGAGTAACATTTGGTCAAGACCGGGAAAACTCCAGCCCTTTTGAATGGATTATTTTATTATTATTATTATTTTGTAGTTATTTCTTGATTTTCGTTTTACAAACAACCTCTTGTGTAATATTTCTTTGGTAAGAAGATTTCCCATGGGTGGGTACTCCTTCTTGGAAATTATCTATTGTTTGTTACATTGTTACATTATTACATTGTTATATTTTCATCATTCTGGTTTATTTCAAATTTGTTTCTTTAGATCCTCTTGGTAAGAGCTGACCCTTCTTTTCTTTTCTTTTGTCCGCCTTTCTTTTCTCTTGGTAAAAGATGAACTTTTAGCTGATTCCCTTTTGTATTCCTATCTCTTTTTATCATCAAATGATCCAGCCCATAATTTACAAACTTTCCATTAATATTTTTTAAAGATTCCTTTTCTTTTGGTTCCAGGTTTTGCTCAATTGTCCATCTCCTTTTCCCTTGTTCCTTGCTGATTTCTTGATGCTCATTGAAAAGAACTGTGTCATTTGTAACTTACGGTTAGTGAATTAATAATTCTAATGCCTCTAGAAACATCATTCCAACACCATCTAATCCAAGACCTAATCAAAGATTAATCATTAATG